TTATGCAACTAAATGTTTATGAATATTTGTTGCAAGTCTATTTTATGTGTGTTTTGGTTACCCATGAGATGACAGTCACATGGTTTGTGTCACACATTATTGAAATGGCAATTAAAGATGCTCATTTGTATAATTTTATAAATAATTAAGAAATGTAACTTTTAGTTATTATAACTTTTCTAACATATTCCCTCAAAAAACATGTTTATATTATCTTGCCCCAGAAGAATAACTTTTCTCAAATACTTGAGAAATACTATTGTTGAAATACTATTATTAAGTTGAAATCCTATTGTTAAGTTTTAGACTGAATTTTAAAATTAATCCCAGAAAATACACATATTTATTGGCACTGCACTTTTTTGGTTTTTATTTTATGGTTCAATCACTACATGTTAAAATGTAATATTTTAAGTTGGAGGCATAATTACTTAATTGGGAGTCTGTCTAATGAGGTCCTGGGCCTAGTATACCAAAATATGCTTTGAGTGACTTAATAAAGAGTTCTGTGCTCCGTCTTTACCACATTTATCTTAGGCCCAAATTTACTCATTTCTTTTTATTAAATCTGAACATCAGAACTAAATATTTTATTCAATCCTGAAAAATAACCCAAAAAAATCACATTTACTCTAAATGGATTTTATGAAAATCTAAAAGATGGATTGTTTTTAAACCCTGTGTAAACTTGAGGCAGAGTTGCAGAATTATAAAAGAATCTGTGTTTATACCTTCTATTAATAAAAGCATTATTGTTCTATTTTTTTTTAATTTTTTTTAATATTTATATTTTAGTTCTCGGCGGACACAGCATCTTTGTTGGTATGTGGTGCTGAGGATCGAACCCGGGTCGCACGCATGCCAGGCGAGCGCGCTACCGCTTGAGCCACATCCCCAGCCCAGCATTATTGTTCTAAATTTGTAGGTACTTTTGCTTTGGAATTTATCTCTATTTTAAATTCAATTTTTACAATGTCATAACATTTTTCGAATTTTACATTGGCAGTAACATTTTAGAAGTTCCAATAGTTCAGTGAAGTTGAGGTGTGTTATTTACAGTTTAGAAAGTAGAAGTATTGGGGGGGGGTTTGCCTGTATAAATCACCATTAAATCTAGATATACTTCAAAGCCTAAAATCTGACAAAGTAAATATTACTACATTTTTACAGACCATAATTTTAATCGGTGGAGAGTAACTTTTAGTAGACTTTCAAGAGATGCTTGATAAAGACATTTCTCAATGTAGCTTTCAGATTTTGTGCTCAAGTGTTTAAAATTTAGTTTACCTAAAGACATGAACATATAAATAGTAAGAGTTGGTATTTAGGGGAGACAGATATAAAGGTAACTTTTTAGAATTTGGACTATTTAGAACTTTGGATTTATGTCAGTCAGTAGCCATCTTAAAAATCTACAATGACTGTGTTTTTCACTTTAATGTTTCCATTGCAGTGAGTAGGGGTTTTTTATCCAAAATATTATTGGTGCAAGTTATTTTAAAGGTTTATGATATTGGTATGTGTACAGATATGAATCTTATTGAATGATACTAACTACAAGTTTTTAAATTTTTTTTTTAGTTGTAGGTGGACACAATATCTTTATTTTATTTTTATGTGGTGTTGAGGATCAAACCCAATGCCTCACACATACTAGGCGAGGGCTCTACCTCTGAGTCACAATCCCAGCCCTACCACAAGTTTTATACCTGTTGCAAACAAGGTATAGGTTTAGAGCAATCCTCAAGGAAAAAATGGAATGGTCAAAGTCTGTTAATTGATCACTATGTCACAGGAAAGCAGGGAGCTGAAACTCTAAGCCTCGGCTCTTATGTTCCAACAAGAGAAAATTTAAAGTCAGACACCAAGGTCCTAAAGAGAACTTTATTACAAGTGAAAGTGGAGTGAAAATAAAGCAAAAGAAAAGTGAGGTTTAAGCAAAAAGCACTCTCATGAGAGAGAGTGGGCCGTCTCCAAGCAGAGAATGACAAATTTCATTACTGTTTGATGTTTACCAGGAGAACTGGGGACCACCTTCTGTACTCTTTTTGCCAATCAGGTGTTCAACTTCTTCTTCACATAGGGGCAGTGGAGATTTTTACCTTAGTTGGTTCTCTTCGGATCTGTCATGGTGGCCATTCTCTTTAGGGGGGCTTCATCTACAAGTCAATCCTATGTTAATGTGGGCAGTGGGGTCAGTAGCTGGTCAGAAGTTTCCTTAATGTGCCTGCACTACTAAAGGAATCTTCCTTCCCAGACAATTGGAGACACTTATAGCCATAATTCCTAACTTCACATCAACTTCAGTGACTCACTTAGTCCCATTCATCCTGTATTGATCTCTCTTTCACTCTCTCCAAAAGATGGGAATGAGGGTCAGGTGTCCATTTCAAAATTTTTGTAAAAGCCACTTGAAATCACTTATATGAAAGTATTCAGCAAACTTTAAAATCATACACAATTGTTAGTTAATAATACATCATTACCATATGTTTACATTTCACTCCAGTAATTATTATTATAACAAGCCATTAGAAGGTTTGACGATACCCTTGTGGCAATTTGTTATCACAAGTGAATGTTTCTCTTCAAAAAAAGCCTGTTGAACTCTCCAAGGCCTATGGCAATAAAATAATCTTTTTTTAATTAAAAAAATTTTTAATTGTATATGGACTCAATGCCTTTGTTTTTATGTGGTGCTAGGATTGAACTTAATGCCTCAAACTTGTGAGACAAGTGCTCTACCACTGAGCTACAATTCCAGCCCAATAAAATAATCTTTATATTGTTTCAAGATCATATTAAAGTGGCAATAGCTGTGTGGAATAAATACCTATAAGGGGAAGAACCTCTAGCACAAAGAGGCACTGTTACTGAACCTACATCCAGAAACTCATTCCATTAAAAACCAAAAACAACAACAACAAAAAAAAACTATTGTCCAAGAGAAATGTGCTGGGAAGAAAGGAAGTTTTCATTCAATTACCAAGGAAAGAAGAAAATCTGCTTCTTAATTCCAGTAGGTAGAAGAGTTACAGATATACGCTAGCAATAATGAGGAGGAGAGATAGCCTAATAAAAGGGATGAATATTCATGTCTTTTCTGGGAGTAAGTGTAGATCTTCCAGGATCCCAGGTGCCACCCCTTTCGTCATCTGCTGTTTCTGGTTATGGTGGCTAGTAGGTGTCTTTAGTCTTAAGAGACTAGACAACTCTAGGTCAAGTTAATCCTCTATTATAGTTTAGACAAAACATTTCTCAAATGATCAACATGTATGTATACATGCAAATGCTTCAGATTCTGACCCAAAGGTTAAGGCAACAAAGGAGACAGACACAATATGAAGACAGAGAAACCAATCATTTCCATACTGTTCCAGTCAGCATCAGACTTTTGTGGGGCCAAGAGAAGAATCAGTGTTTTCAGCAAAAGGGGACTTCAGATCCCTGAAGAGTAACCTAGGGAAGTAACCATCATAACCCATCTCAGAGGTATCATCTACAGCAAAACCAGAGACTAATATGCACTGCCCAGCTGGGTGACCTCCAAAATTAGTGATTTTTAAGTCAACTAAGAAAAGTGAAGCTACATGGTTTGTTTAGGTTTTTCCCCAGGATTAGCACGTTTTTTTCACCTCAAAGTCAGAAACATCTCTCTTAAAACTTTACAATGTCTCCTTTTCTTAGAATGGCAAGAAACATCAGGCTATTTTTTCCCCCTTTTCTTTCTCTATTTTTACCTTCTAATTTTGCCTCCTACTCTGTTCTGGGCCTGAAAAGCAATGTATTACTAAATGTCAGCTCTAGAAATAAAAAATATACCAGAAACTGCTATTTTCCTATCCAATAATCATTCTTCTCTTCTTTAAAAATACATTTAAGAATGTTCAACTCACAATGTTCAGCTTCCAGGCAAAAAATGTTAACACATGCTAAAAAACGAAAAATATGACCCGTAATGGGCAGGGCGGGGGGGGGATACAAATCGACAGAAACCCATTCAAAAATAAACAAGATATAAAAGTTGCTCACAGATGTCTCGAATTCTAACTTGTATGGCCCAGGGTTGGGCATTTTCTTATACCTTAATCATGTAAAGCATCACACCACTAGATTTGACATGATCTAACAGGCTGTAGAGATTGCTGGATTCAGATTGATTGATTTATACATACATAGGTACTTACCGAGGATTGAACACAGGGGCACTTAGCCACTAAGCTACAGCCTCAGTCCTTCGCTTAGGGCCTCCCTAAGTTGCTGAAGCTGACTTTGAGCTCAGGATCCTCCTGCCTCAGCCTTCCTAGCTGCAGGAATCACAGGCGTGCGCCACGGGCTTGGGTTCAGATTTTTTACCTATGTTTGTGGAAATTTGAGCGAATGTACTACTGCTTTTTATATTTTCAAACAGACAAAACAGCCTTCGGTACTACTCCCCTCCCCACCTCTCTTGTGCTGCCCAAGCACAGAATCGCCAGAGCCTCATGTGGATGGGAAGGACCGTTGAGTTGTCCCTAGCATGCCCCCTTCTCTGTCCTTGAGTCACAAGGATTTGTGGAAAGACCCTCCCTTCTCACTCACCGGCCTCGTGCTGGACCCCGGTAACCTGTCGCCCTGATCAGGTCAGCTCCGTTACTGAACCCCGCGGGCCCAAACTCCTACCTTGCCCTCCCGGGAGGTCGGCGGAAGCTGCCAGTCCACACCTCCTCCGCCCGCGGGGCGGGGCGGGGCGGGCTCTCGCAGCCGGGGAGGAGCTGGCTCCGCGGAGCCGCGCGCGGAGGGCTGGGCTCACTGCGGCTCCACCCCCGCCGCGGCACTGTTCACCAGCCTGGTGCTGATCCACGTCGAGCCCGGCAGCCTCCACCCAGCACGCCGGGGTCTGGTCGGGGAAGCGCCTCGGCGGAGAGCAAGGATCCGCGCTAGGCCCCGCCGGCTATGCCTCCTGCTGCAGCGGTTCCCGCCGGCGCCCGGGCGCCCGCGACCCCTGGGGAGCAGCCAGGCCCCGGGGACACCGGGCTTTGAGGCCGGGGCCTAGCGCCCGCCGCGGCCCCGCAGGAGGGGCCCAGGCCCGCCTCCCCGCCTCCCTGCCTCCCTAGTCACTTGGCCGACCTAGGCTCGCTCCCCTCCGCTGCCGGCTGCCATGGCCCTCGCCGCCCAGGAGGGCGCGGACTCGGAGCGTCGGCAGCGGCGGCGGCACCAGGCGCTGCGCGGGTTGCTGTTGCTCTGCCTGTGGCTGCCCAGCGGTCGTACTGCCGTGCCACCGGCGGCGCCGCTGTCCGAGCTGCACGCGCAGCTCTCGGGCGTGGAGCAGCTGCTGGAGGAGTTCCGCCGGCAGCTGCAGCAGGAACGGCCGCAGGAGGAGCTGGAGCTGGAGCTGCGCGCCGGCATCGGCCCGCGGGAAGGCTGTCCAGGCCCCGGCGGCGACGGCTACAGCGCCATGCCCGACGCCATCATCCGAACCAAGGACTCCATCGCGGCAGGTGCCAGCTTCCTGAGAGCACCGGCGGCCGTGCGGGACTGGCGTCAGTGTGTGGCGGCCTGCTGCTCCGAGCCGCGCTGTTCGGTGGCGGTGGTGGAGCTGCCCAGGCTGCCTGTGTCCCCGGCGGTCGCGCTTGGCTGCTACCTCTTCAACTGCACTGTGCGCGGCCGCAGTGTCTGCAAGTTCGCGCCGCACCGTGGCTTCAGCAGCTACAGTCTCAGCCGCGCCCCAGACACCGGGCTAGGAGACTTGGAAGCTGGAGACCCCGCTCTGGCCACCGCGTGGTCCTCGCCCCGGCTGGGTAAGCGCGACTGCAGGGCCTGCTGTGGCCAATCTGCTTGGGTACCTCTGTCCTTTCACCTGGTGGGTGGCTGTGCTTTTCCAAACATGGGAGACCCTCATGGGGAGAAAGACTAGCCTCCCTTCGCCAACTCACTCCAAATTCCAAGTAATTTAAACTGCAGGTAACCGAAAGGATGACGCTGATTTCTTAGTCTAATCGATGGTTCCTGAGAACCCTTGTAGATTGGAAGAAGCCGGAGTGGTGGGCTGCCATATGGAATTTTCTAGGTTTGGGTAGCTGATCTAAGAGGATTGGTGGAAATTTGATTTAAAAAAAAAATAGAAAAGCTCAGAGGGGGAAAAAGGTTTATTTTAGTCTCAGATTTTATAAGGCACAGTTTGTGTTAGCTAATTGCAAGAGCAAAATCTAATTACATGTGAACCTGCTCATAACACCCACCCTTTTTCTTGGTATGACTCTCAGGACGCAAGATTCTGCCTGTGCTTAATTGCTTCAACAGACAAAAATGGGAAGGAAAACTACTGTTCACTTTAATACAGAGTAAAAAGAAGGGACTTGATTGTGGCTTAAAATAAGAACGTTTAAAGCATGTCTTTTTTTAAAAGAGCTAAAAATGGTGCCAGTTCCATGGCTTTACAGTCTGCAAGTCCTAAAAATGAGAGTCCAGACACACACAGGAGACACAAAAATTGTAGCTGTTGGAAAATTAACATCACTGAAGGATTAAGACCTTGATTGAGTCCCCCGAATCAGACTCAATGTTTCATCATATAAGTTGATGTTTGATTTATAACACAAATGACATCATTAGCAATATTGGGGAGCAGGGTAGTGTCAGCCTTTTTGGAAATCTGGCTTCTCCATGTGGTTTCAATGAGAAGGGTTGTAAATCTTTGTTTATGGTGCCCTGCCTCCCTCCCTCACCTCCACTTAGATGAAACTTAGAACATTTGTCAGGGGAGCAGACATCAAAAGACCATTCTGCTACTGCTCAACCTTGAGCTAGATGCTGGGAAAGACCTGGTGGTCTCGTCTAAATATGGAGCAAGCAGCACCTGCACTTGGACCCCTACCATCCTCCTTGAGCCTTACCCCATGGCTGCTGTCCTTCCTCTCTACCCACAGAGGGAACAAAGTATCTGGGTTCTCACTACTGATCTGAGAGGAAGTGACATAGTCAAAGGGAGCCTTCCTACAAACCACAGGAAAGGAAACTAAAGAGGAAGAGAGTAGGTCCAGGGAAGTTAACAACAAGAACTTTTAGTTGCTGAAAGTTTCCAAGTCATTTTTCTTCATTCTTCCTTCTTTGCCCTTCCTTTCTCTAGGGAGAGTTTTTCTAGGAATTTCATTTTATAGATGTTTGGAGACAAGATGAGGTAACCACTGGGTTAATCTTCATTTCTGAGAGAATGCTGGCATACTCAGACTTCAGTCCCCAGCAACAGGGAAAGTGCAAGGTGCAGCCAGGCTCAGAGGCTACCTTGTCTCTCTGCATGGATGGTGATTGGTTTTTTCCAGGGCCCTGGGTTTCCCTACCCAGATGCTTTACGTGGTGTTCTTTGTGCTTCTGAGACTACCGAGTTTTTCCTTTTTAAATTCTTTCTCTTTTTTTCCAAATCTTATGAACACTTGGAATTGAAGTCTCAATGACATTCAAAATGGTTTAGAAGAGCTCTAGGAAAAGAAAAGTTGTTAAAGGATTATTTGAAGTCAGATAAAGGATTAGGAAGAAATAGTGAAGGATTAGGTGGAACGGGATAGCACAAATTTATAGCATCAACCTGTTTGTTGCCCAAATTTATTGAATTTGGTGTTGGGAGATGTTCTAAACTCTTCACACACATGAACTCACAACTCACAACAGCTTCAAGATCTAGGTTCTATTATAATCTCTAGTGTAAAAGAAACCTTTGTGAAAGAAAGCCTCTTGCCTGAGGGTCACACAGCAAGTGGGTTTTGGAGCTGAGACATAGAGCAGCTATGTGCTTTCTCCAGCAGCTCCTGGGTTGGAACTTAGGGCCTATAGGGGATGATGCGAGATGCAGGAATAAGTGGAGGATGCTGGAGAGATCTCTTGAAGTGACCAAACCTACCTGGTAGGGCATCCTAAGAGCAAAGCAGGTTTGAGATGGAGCTCTTCCACATATAAGTCCCTGCTAGTCCCCTTGGGACTGGTGTATGTACTTTTCTTCCAGCTCAGATTGTCATGAGGATCAAGGATAGACATACTTTGTGCATGATCAAAGTGGCACACATGTCCATGATATCAATATAGGACCTTGGTTGGGTTGTGCAGTAGGCTGGTGGGGTAGGAGGACTGACTGTGAGGAGAGGAGGGAAGGAGGGGTAGGTGGGCACTGGAGCAGTTTGGTTCACGGAGAGGCTAAGACTGTAACCTCCCAGAACTCAGAGCCAGAACTTTAATGTTGTTCCACTGTATAGCCTGAAATCCAGTATCTCTGGGAAGAATTTGGGAAGTCATCCCCTTCTGTGTCAGGGAAACTCAAAGCAAATAGGCAGAGTTCTGCTCTCCCCTTTGCCTATCACCTGCTGCTACCCCCAGCCTGTCTCTCAGCTGCTCCAAGAGCAGAGGAAGAAATTGGCCATCCTGTCAAGGTTAATCCCTCCCCAGCTGGTAGCCAGTCTCCTCCAAGGACCTTACTTTCTCACATTTTCATCTTGTTATAAATAAATATTTACATTTAATAAATAATATAACTAGTTAGCAATGTTTGGGGAAACACATTTTAGACCTCAACCCTAACCACACATGAATTCCAGCTGGATTAAAGAATCTTTTTCTAAATTAATCCATAGTTTATTCCATACGTAGGAAACTTAAAAATAAAACTACTGTTACATATCTGTAAGAAATATAACTTTCTAGTCAATTCAAGAGATGATAAAGGAAAAGGATACATTATGGACATATTCATAAAAACTATGTCAAGAAACAAAAGGAATTGCAAACAAGAATCTAGGAAAATATGAGGTTAAAATATTTATTAATAGAGCATATGAATCAGTAAGAAAAACAAAAATAAGTGTGTGAAGGACATGACCAAGCAGTTTCCAAAAGAGGAAGTATAATTGATGAGCATATAAAAAGATTCAGCCACAGAATCAATAATGCCAGCTCCAGTGCCACAGTCTGGCTGGGCACAATTCAGAAGCCACTTGTAAAAAGAAACTAACTTTATTTTTAGAACCACACACTCCAAACAAAACAGCTCCTCAGGAAAACCTTCAGAGCCCAACTGCCTCCACCGGCTTCCCACAAGCCTCTCAACCTCCCCCACTCCTCCTGCTCTTGAGGCGGATTGGCTGGGTCACATGGGCGGAGCAAAAAAAAGTCCCCCAATGAGCAGCTCCATGGTCTGAAAGGGCCAGGGAAACAGCCCAATGAGCATCACCGCAGAGGAGCCAATCAGTTGGCAGCTAGAAGTTGCTGGGGCCGCTGTGAGCCAATCATCAGCTGGCAGCTGGAAGTTTGCTGGCAACTGGAAGTTTGCTGGGGCCCCATTGGCTGTGGCTCTCAACACTCGGACTTATGAAATTTGCAAAAATAAGTATATTCTTAACTTGGCATGAATGTAGAAAACTTTATGAACTCTTACATAGTCACTGAGATTGTAAATTGGTCCACCCCCCCCTTGGAAACCAATTGGGAAATACTTAGCAGAGACTATTACAATATTCATTTATTTGATCCATGCTAAAAAAAATTAAGAAAAAAGTATCTAGTATGGCATTATTTATAATGGTGGGAGAAATTGGGTAACAAATTAAGTGTCCAATAGTAAGAATTAGGAAATTAAAATGACAATTCTAAAATTGCTGTAATTACATGGGCAGTGCTAGGATGTGTAAATAAATATTAATAGGTGGAATAAATATATATCCATAAGCTAGTAGATTCAATTCTGAATGTGAAATTATATTTGTGGTAATTGGGATACATTTAGGGTACCTCAAAGTATAGTAGAAGGAGCCTTTGAGTTAGAAATATCTGGGCTGACATCTGAGCTGAGAAACTGAGCACTTGCATGAGTGATTTTCAGCAACCAATAGCCTCTCTGAGCCTAGGTTCCTATCAGTAGTATGCATATCATAGTACCTACCTCAGAGTTTTAGTGAAGTTAGGCCTATGAAGCACTTAGTGTGGTTCCTGGCAGAAAGAAGTCACCCAATAAATGGCAACAATTATAATTACAGAACTATAATTATATATATTGTATATATGATCATCAGCATGCTATGGAGAAAAATGAGAACAGTACAGACCAAAAATAACAATAATCATATTGGGATTGTGGGTAAGCTTTTTCTAAAGTGTGACATCTTAAAAATCCCATGATGGCTTTTACCACATTTCCAAGCCTCTGTCCTTAGTCTGGCCCTGCCTCTATATCTCACTTCAGGGTCTTTCTAATTTCTCAGTTTAGTCTGTGTTCACACCCAAACATCTTCCTTGTCTTGAAGGCTCTTCACAGCAGTGTGTTGTGAATGAGGCCAGCTAACTTATTCTTCTCTGGGTAAAATCCCAGTTTGATATGCTCAGTCTAAATTGGTGCAAGTCTTATTTTACCTCTGTAGGTCTTACCAACTGTTTAGTTTTTAAAAAACAATCAATGTTTCCATAGTATTTAACATAGGATTATTACATTTTTATGAGGAAAACTCAAAATTATATTTATCTTGTTCTTCATTAACAGATCAACTATTGTTAAGTGGTAGCACACACCTTTTCCTGTTGTCTTTTACTTACTTTAAGGGTTGTTTCTGGGTAGATAAGCTCTGGCTTATTTTAAAATACATTTTATGGTATCACTGGAACATTATCTCTGTTATTCCAAACATATCACAGGACAATTTAGTGGGTATAAAAATTTCACTATGGGGGCTGGGCTTGAGGCTCAGTGGTAGAGCACTTGCCTAGCACCTGCGAGGCCCTGGGTTTGATCCTCATCACCACATAAAATAAAATAAATGTATTGTATCCAGCTACAACTAAAAAAAAAAATTAAAAAAAGAGAATTTCATTATGTTCATATCTTAAATCATATCTTAAAATTGATGTAAGTGAAAGTAAATGACTAAAATGGTTTTCTTTCTTTCAGGAGAGGCAAGATTAATTGGTTTTATAATGTGAGATATTTCAGACTTACCTGATCATTCCATATTAGATCTTTGATGTAAACTCTTTGGATGGTTTTAAAAATTACTAGTGTTTGTGGCTTTTTATATCATTTAGGCATATTGTAGTTCATTTACTTGAAAATAGTTTTTTGTTTTTATTGTTTGTTTTTTTTTTGGTACTGGGGATTGAACCCAGGGCCACTGAGCCACATCCCCAGCCCTTTTTTTAATATATATTTTATTCAGAAACAGGGTCTCACTAGATTGCTTAGGACCTTGCTAAATTGCTGAGGCTGGCTTTGAACTTGCAATCCTCCTGCCTTGACCTCCTGAGCCACTGGGATTACAGGCATGAGCCACTATTCTGGGGAAAATAGCATTTTAAAGCAAATTTTAATGCAAATAGCTGCTAACTATAATGTCTAACTGCTAGATTATAAAATGTTTTTCAGAATTATACAGTGGAAACCTTTTGTGAAAACTATGAACCTTTTGTAACCAAAGGGAAGTCAACACTTCTAGAAAAGACCTATTGTATCACATCTGTCCTCGTGGCGAGATGCAGATTAAAGACATCAGTTGTTCAGTCTTTGCTCAGAGATAGAAAAGGGAGAAGAACAGGTTTTTCCTTAGGTAGGGAGGTGTTTACTTGGCTTATTTCAATCAGTTATGGGTTGTATTCGTCCACTTTCCGTCACTATAATGAAATATGTCATAAGAAGAAAAGGTTTATTTTTGCTCACAGTTCCAGAGTTTTCAGTCCAAGGTAGTCTTATTGCTTTGGGCCTCTGGCCAAGGTGACATATCATGGCAGGAGCATGTAGGAGAAATGGCCACTTACATCATGAACTGGGAAGTGAAAGAAAGTGAGAGGGGTCCAGGGTGCAGTAATCCTTCTCAAGGCCATGACTCCCATGACCTAAGGTCTCCCAGTAGGCCCCACTCCTGACGGTTCTATCACCTTCCAGTAGCACCACCCTGGTGACTGTGCCTTTAATATATGGAACTTTGGAGGACTTAGCATCCAAACTAGACTGTAAAAAAGGGTCTCATCTTCTCAATGGACATAGTGTATCTCTTGGTAATAGCATATAGTAAGCAACTGTTCTTCTTCTCTGTAGCCTTAAATTATTTAGTTTCATCCTAGATTAAAGGCAAATATAGACATGTTTTGCTGTTTTAGAACATCCCAAAAGAAACTCAGTGTGCTGCTTCTGTAATAAAAATTGGTTATTAGAAGTTCTAAACCTCTTTTATTGTCCTGGATGGTAAACTAGATTCCAGAGGACTTCTTTGTAGTGTTCACTTAGTATGGATCCAAGTTTGTCTTAATTTGCCAAATTTAATATATTTCCCATCCATTGAACACTTAATAATACTTGTACATTTAAAAACTGGAAGACAAGAAAAAATAAAATCTGTACTAGAAGTAAATTTGGTTTCATTGGGGTTAGTTTCAGGAATTCTTTTTTAAATCAATTCATTTAGTAGACCTTTGAACTTAAATCATTTATAAATAAGGGAAAAATTCAGAGAATATAATGACTTCTCCAGATTTACAGGTTGGTGGGCCTTGGCACATTTTCTTCCCTTTCTACTTTGTCCACAGCTACTGCTAGTAGCCGGCATGCCATACCTTACCTTCTGCATACATCATAGCCAAATTTCTATATTCATAATTTTTTCTTTATTATGTAAAGAGAACACAATGAAAATCAATAGGAAAATAAATTCCAGTTATTCATTCTCTCAGCAGTTCTTTGCTGGACCAAATCTAGTCAATACCAAACCACTCTTCATAAATTAGAAAAAACAGACTTATGATTGTTTATTTTCTTTCACAGACAAGGATGAACCTCCACTTAGCAAGGCTGGGCAGGATGTGATTTTGCATCTGCCCACAGATGGCGTGATTCTGGATGGCCGTGAAAGCACAGATGACCACGCCATCATCCAGTATGAGTGGACACTGCTGCAGGGTGACCCATCAGTGGACATGAAGGTAACTCGTGTCATCCTTGGTAATGAAAACTGAGGTTTCTGGAAAATGGTCTTGTGTAGTGTCCTTCTGCTCAAGTTCCCCCAATGCCTGTGAGTTAGAAGAAGAGCTATAAAATGGAGAAAATGTAGGATTGATTGTAGAAAACATGGTTGCTTTTATACATTTACTTTCCTTGATTTTTTTCAGTGATTTTTGAGTATTTATTTTGAAGCCTGCCTCATTCCTCTGCTTTTTCTGGACAAGAGTACTTCAAAGAAGAAAATATGTTTTGTTTCAATGAATCAGATTACTTTTTAAAGGCTTTTCTTTTTTCTTGCTTCAAGATTCAAGTAGAAAGTTTGAAAAACATCAAGGAATATTAAGAGAAAAATAGCAATAGAATGAACTAATTCTTTACAAGATCCAGAGAGAGAACATTGTACCTGGTGGTTTCACTGTTTGCAATCATTGTGAGGAGAGCAAGCATGGTGTCAGGCTTTCCTGCTCAGGTGCCCCGTGCTGTTCTCCATCAGGTTCGTCTGGGCACAGCTGGATTTGCTGCACTGACAGAGCTGTCTGTCCAGGGGCTGCCTATGCACACTGGGTCTTGAGTCATGAGACAAGTCAGGACCCTTTCTAGATAGGAGCGTATCCTGGTTGAGGCACATAAACTTCATCCAGACCACTCCCTTGAGAGGAGCTGGAGGAAGAAGGTGAACAAAACACCAATTTGTGCTCTAGTGAAACAAACACAAAAATGACAATAAGCCAGTCACATAACACTGGCATGCACTGATTTTACTCATAGGCTTTGAATTGGACTGGACCTCTGCTCAGCATCTTACTGTGCCTGTCACTCAAACAAGAACCCTTCTTACAGTATCCCTTCCAAGGGTCATCCACTATCTGCCTGACTCTTTCGGTAATGGAAGCTCACTGTTACACATCATGTCTTATGACTAATTATTAGGCAGACAGGATGTCCCTCTCATTATCAGTATGTGTTGGTGCGGGACCTTCTCTATGGAAAAACACTGAATATATTATTTTTGTTCTGTGGAAAATCCCTTCAGCCCATTTTCACACCATCCAGCATCCAGCCTAGTCTGGATTTTCTTAGACTAGTCCACACCCTTCTTAAAGTCTGGCACCCCCAATTGAATTCGATATTCATGCTGTGGTTCTCCCTGATACCCTGTTACCTCCTGTTGTCTAGTCATTGTCCCTACTGCTATTAGTGAAGTTTAATTTTCATTAACTATTTTAATAGCTACATCACACAACAGATTCTTTTTTTTTTAAAGAAAGAGTGAGAGAGAGTGAGAAAGAGTGAGAGAGAGAGAGAATTTTAATATTTATTTCTTAGTTTTTCCACGGACACAACATCTTTGTTTGTATGTGGTGCTGAGGTTCGAACCCGGGCCGCACACATGCCAGGCGAGCGCGCTACCGCTTGAGCCACATCCCCAGCCCACAACAGAGTCTTGCTGAATCTTTTCCCATTATCTTTCCACATGACTGCTGTTATATGGCCTCCCCTTTTCTGTGTTTCTATAATTGATTTATTGAACCTGAGCATATAACCTTCTGTTTATCCTTCTTACATTTCAACTTTGGAGTTTTTTTCTACAACAGAAATAATTTTGAGTGTCCCATCATATTTATTGTTTTTTATGCTTGTGTCAACTGCAAGATTAATTTATCTTTTTATCAATTTTTTAATTTGTTCTAATTAGTTACACATGACAGCAGAATGCACTTTGACATATCATACATAAATGGAGTATAACTTCTCATTCTTCTGGTTGTACATGATGTAGAATCACACTGATTGTGTAGTCATATGTGCACACAGGGTAATAATGTCCAATTCATTCTACTATCCTTCCTACCTGCATACCCCTTCCCCTCCCTTCACTCCCCTCTGCCTAATACAAAGTAACTATATTCTTTCCTAGTGCCCCCCTTATTAAGATTAATTTATCTTAATTGAAATTTTGAGAATTCAAGTTAATCAGGAAAGATATATGGACAAGCCATCAATCATACCACTAGAAAATTTCCTCAGGATGAACACTGACTATGACTTGGCACTCTAGGGATACATCTGTTCAAGAAGCTGCAAATTATGCCTCCATCATCCTCTAGCTTTTCATACTTGCTATTGAAAACTATTCTTTGAGTGATAAATTGCACCTATGAGTGCTAAATAAAAATAATGCTAATGATTTGGTATTTCATTTATTGAAGATATTTCTAAAGGAGTAATAAAATTAGATATTATGTATAATCATTTAAGTCTGATTATTGTGTCATCAAGAGGAAACTGGACCATTTCCCCAGCCAGGTATATAACAACAGTGGCAGGCAGTTCTAACATCATCTAAGTGACAAACCAACATTATGGGAGTCTTCTGATACCAAATTGTCTCTCTCTTACAATGGTGTACATTCATAAATGACCCCCAAAGTAAATACTGGTTGTCCTACTTTGACATCATCCTAACTGTAGCTACCAGGAGCCTGACTCAGTGCTAGGCAATTTAGACCTATCTGAATTCTCAGAACAACTTCCCATGTAGACTCATCCACACTGTGTGGATTAAGATTGTCAAGAAAATTATAAAAGACCCTGAAACGGCCAAAAGATTACTGAGCACCTTTCAATGGAACACTGGGAGTTGGTTCAAGGATCCTTCCATGGTTAGCATTTGAATGTTGTCATGCAAATGATTCTTGTTTGTAAAAATAAAAATACATTTTTTTCATATATAGATGCAATTGATTTTCACTCTGGAGACAAGAGGATTTCCACATGACATTTTAGTACTTGTAGTTACTAATCCATCTAGTAATAAACTTATTTCAGTACCTATTAATAAACTCATTTCTATTTTGTATCTATTAGCAACTTTGTATCTGCATTCATGACTATTATATATGTCTATTCTCTAGATTATCATCTTAATCAGTTTAACATATTATTAGTTTTTTTTAATTCATGAGTTAAATAAAATTTTGGACACATGTTCATATTACATTTGTGTAGGAGTCATGGCTTACCATTTTGAGAATTTTTCCCTAACAGTAAATAACCATCCTTAAGGGCTACCACTCTGATTCCTTGAGCTTACGCAGCCTGGTTTCACACTCCGAATTTTCTAACAGGAAAATTGGGACTCAGATAAAATCACCCTTTTTCTGAGAGTGATACCCAGCTTGATAGGAATATTAATGTACTCCTCTTCAAGCTGCAGAATGGGGCTAATGTGGGAGGTTTTGGGGAATGGGGGAAGGTGATTAGAGCATAATGACACTGGGTACCCTTGTTCTTAAGTTCCCCGACTCTCCCACCACCCGGGAGCACTCCTTCACCAGGCTTCCCTCCAGGGCCTTTCCTAACCCTATGTGTGTGTGTGCGCTCGTGTGTGTGTGTGTGTGTGTGTGTGTGTGTATATAGTTGTTAATAGACCTTTCTTTTCTTTTTTTTTTTATTTTCTAACTTATTCTTTTGTTTTTAATATTTGCTTTTTAGTTGTAGTTGAACACAGTACCTTTATTTTTATTTATTTTTACATGCTGCTGAGGATCAAACCCTTGCACATGCTAAGCAAGTGCTCTACTGCTAAGTCACAACCCCAACCCAATGGACCTTTATTTTCTTTATTTATATGTGGTGCTGAGAATCGAATCCAGTTTCTCACACATGCTAGGCAAGTGCTCTACCACTGAGCCACAACCCCACCCCTTTCCTAACCCCTTTTGACCGCTCCCTGGTTCCCCTCCCGTCTTGCCTGGGTGTGTACAGGCTCTTTACTCCCTCTCCATCCTAGGGTAGTAGTCAGGCCTCCCTTTATCCTGAGACTTTTAGATCATGTTTAAGGACCTGTCTTTTCACATCCAAGTGATTCAGTTGGGTGTTTAAAAAACAGTGACAAAAGCCAATAAGGGTGCTGGGGATATAGCTCAGTTGGTAGAATGCTTGCCATATGCACAGGCCCTGGGTTCAATCCCCAGCACCACAAACAAAACAAAACAAAAACCAATGAGGTTCTTACCTTAAAGGAATTATACTACCAACTTCATTATGATAAAATTAGTAGCTAACCTTTTCTTAGCATCTAGTATGTGTCCAGTACTATAAAAAAATAATTTGCCTGAATTAAGCATATAGGAACACTCATATTCCAGACATTTTTACTTCATTTATGGTCAGAACAAAGAGCTGTACAATAGACTAAAAAGTTACTTATTTTCTTCCCTTGAGCATGATATTCTACGTCCACTTAATAAATATTGACCTATAATACATTATTAAATGCAAAAGACACATTAGATGACACTGAGTTTATTTATTATTAAACATCACGTTTAAATCCGAAGTCAGAATGTAAAATATGACCTTTAGGAACACGACAGCAGAGTATTTTCATGTAGGGACATGAACAATGTTGTTGAGGGAGATTTGGGATCACAGATCAGTGAATTGATTAATATTAATCAAATGTTAATAATCAAGTAATCAAATCCACTTGGAATGCCACAAAAAAACACCATAACTGGGTGGTTTATAAACAGAAATTTTATTTCTCACAGTCTTGGGTAATAGCAAGTCCAAAATCAAGATGCTATCAGATTCAATATCTGGTGAGGATCTGCCTTGTAGTTCACAGTCAGCATCTTTTTGCCATGTCCTCACATGGCAGAAGGGGCAAAAGAACTTTCTGGTATGAGGAGCTGAATGCCATTTATGAGAGTACCACCCTTAGGATCTAAACATTTCCTAAAAGTCCCTCTTCCAAACACCATCACATTGAGGATTAGGTTTCAACATATGAATTTTGGAGGACACAAACATTCAGTTGATCGCAATTATAGAATGCCAGGTGTAAAGGAAGCTTACTAATGGATGAATTGTGTTTACCTTAACAAGTTTGTCATTAAATCAAAACCAATTGCCTACTAGCTTACATGCTGGACATAATTTTTTTAAAACGGTAATAATTATTTTGTATTCTCCCAAACATGAATTTCTAGCCACTGAAATCTCAGTTAAGGAGATCAAGTTGTATCAGAAAGGCTCTGCTACTGCCAAATAGAGGATCTAACTTTTTTTTTTTTTTGGCGGGGGTGAAGGGGTGGGTACTAGGGATTGAACCTGAGTCATTTAACACTGAAATACATTCCCAGCTCTTTTGTATATTTTATTTAGAGACAGGATCTCACTGAGTTACTTAGGGCCTCACTAAGTTGCTGAGGCTGGCTTTGAACTCATGATCCTCCTGCCTTAGCCTCCTCAGTGGCTGGGATTATAGGCATGCACCACCATACTCTAGCAGATCTCACCTCTTGCTTTATTAAAGGTAAAGCATATCTCTCTTCGAGTTCCAAATTGGATATGTTGTGTGTACATGAGTATATGTTTATGTTTTTATCCTGAAATTTGGAGCATGTTTTGACATAGTTTGAATCCTCTTTCTAGTGTCACATTAATATGAGGAAATGTTTAGAAGAGGACTTGCTGCCTTGAGGGGAAAGTGTCTATCTAAATATCTGATTTCGAGGCAAGACAGCTTTTGTTATCTAAATGAATAGAAGAGCCAGGGAAGGGATATGTAATCTTAATAGATCTAAACTTTTTAGTGCATCCAGGACATTGAAGGTGATTGTTATCGTCTGAGTCTGGATCCAGTGTTTCCTGCACTGGGATGATGTGCCTGGGGGTATGCCAAGCCTAAATGGAAGGGTTGGTCCCTTGCACAGGGATATTCTGTCCTTCCAGTCCAGTGTGGGAAAAGAGGCTTCCAAGCACACCCCAGGCCTAGTCTCACGTTGGTACTCTGAGCTTTGATGCCCAACCAACTCCTGGTTTCATGGCATTCATTGTCTGTGCTTTGAACCATTTCACCAGTGTTTCATCCAGAGCAGTGGGCAGCCTGGGAGTGCTTGTTAAGTGTAGAATCTCAGATCTCATTCTCCAGACCCCATGACTCAGACTCTCCATGCCACAGAAGTCCATGCCTTAACAATAGCTCTGGGTAATTATTAAGCAACACTAGATACAAAGGTCACTGTGTCTCATTATATTGCCTCTAAATGATTATAAAGCATTCTGCTAGCTGGTATATATAGTACGAACAGACCCTCTAAACCAAAGTTATCTTCAGTAGTTCATTTTGTAGGGTTCCATACATAAAAACAATGTAATTTCAAGACTGTTAGTGCAATGGTATAGTAAACTGCATAAAGGTCAGTGTTCATTCCCACAGAATAATACCCAGATTAGTTCATTGGATCAGAAACAGATTTGGATGTTAAACAGTCTTCCTTTGAATGTCAGGAATGACAGAATCACAGCACAGACCTGGGCCTATTGCTTTTGCAGTGGTAAGGAAGCTGCCTGCAATGGTAAGAAGAGCAGGAAATGAAACTCTGGGGTAAGGGCGTGAGCAGAAGTGAAGCTCAAGAAGGTGCTGCAGGCCTGGTTGGGAGAATTCAGGATAAAAACATGGATCAAAGAAGCAAGGGGTTCAAAAAGACAGGAGTGACCAACTTTTTAGATAGAGTAATAGTCCCAGCTATTGGGGAGGCTAGATGGAAGGAAAACTTAAGCCCATGAGTCTGAGACCAGCCTGGGCCACAAAAAAGGACCTTGTCCAAAAGAGAGGGGAGGGAGGAAGGAAATTTTTTACATAAATAACTATTGTTGATCTCGAGAACTAGGTGATGGTTTCAGGGGAGTCTGGGGAGAGTGGCCACTTGGGTGGGTGAAGATGAAATGGAACATGAGCCTAGGGAAGCAGCAGGTGCAGTGCAGAAGCCTGTTGGGAATCCATAGTAATATTAGAGCCATTTGAAAGAGAAATTAATTGGTGGGTCATTGTTCTGAAGGTCACAGAAGGAAAGTCAAGGACTAAAAAAGAAGAATTGAGCCCCAGCACAGGAGGGACAGTTCATCCTGTACAGGTGTCAGGCAGGAGGTGGCAGTGGGTACAGGGACATGCCCAGGATAAGGTGGGTAGTGCAGCCAGTCATGGTTCTGATTTTCTTCCTGAAGTAGATGACATAACCTGCTGAGAGGGAAAGGACTCAATACTGAATACGGAGCTTGGTGGTTTGGAACAGCCGCTATTAAGGACAAACAATGGACTGGTCAGTCAAGGCTGTTGTCAGTTGGGATAACATTGGTGGCTACAAGATGGGGCCAAATAGCTTGGGACTTGGTATTCAGCAGCTGTGGACCTGGAGTAGAGGGGCAGGTCAGAGAACTGCTTCTAGGACCACACTGACGTCCAGCTCATGAGGATGATGGACTTCATGCTCAGACCTCCCCACTAAAATGAAGCATCCCATTTGTGCACCAGGTGCCTCAACCAGGAACCCTGAAGCTGACCCACCTACAGGAAGGAACATACACCTTCCAGCTGACCGTGACTGACACCGCTGGTCAGAGAAGCTCCGACAATGTGTCCGTGACAGTGCTTCCCAGGACCTACTCCACAAGAGGTGAGAATGTTTCCCTTGGTTTATCACAGCCAACTGGAAGGTGGGGTCACACTGGCATTTTATATTCTGCCTGTGCGTTCCATGGGCTCTTCTGTTTTATTTTTGGTGGTTATTGAATGACCGAGTTTTTCTAAGAATATAATAAAAAAACACAGGCTCCATTATATTTTGGGATAACTTTTGGGATGGAGGAAATACTCCCAGGGGATGAGAATAGAAGGTATGAGCTCCTGGAACTCATAGATTATATTTCAGCTTCCCTCACTGGCCTTCATAAAAGACAATTCCTGGCTTTTCCAGGAGAAGGTTTTTTTCAAAGATAGGAAGATCTTTTGGATATGTATGTTCAAAGCTATATGTATGTATGCCGCTATGAATACAGTTAAAACAACTCAACTCATAAAAACAGAGGCTAGAATGGTGGTTACTAGAGTCCGGGGTGATGTAGGCTGCATTGGTTAAAGTTTCATTTAGACAGAAAGAATAAGTTTTAGTGATCTATTAGTATAGCATGGTAACTACAGTTAACAATAATGTATATTTCAAAATTGCTAAAAGAGTAGATTTTAAATGTTTTCACCACAAAAAAAATGATTTTTTTAAATAATTGAAGTTATACATATGTTAATTAGTTGATTTAATCACTCCACAGTGCATACTTACATCAAATTACATCATATCACCAGAAATAAATAAAACGTCATCCCATAAATATGTAATATTATTATTCATCCCATAAATATGTAATATTATTATTTGTCAATCAAAAGTAAAATATGGGGATGGGGAGGGCATGATACCACATGATAGAAGAAAGACTTAGCACTTGGGATCAATCAATTGCTAATAGAATAATTCATTTCAGAAACTTTAGGAAAGGAAAAAGAGAGTCTGGCTGGGGAGTACCGTTAAAACAACTTAATATATGCAAAATACAAAGGTCAGTTAAAAAGCATTACTTAAAAATTTTCATGCACACTTTACACCACAGTATAGATGCACTAACAATACGATTTAAAATATATTTGATGGTTCTCATGTTCTGTTGAACAATATAGTACTCATTTACTTCATTCATCTATGCTTCTTTTTGAAACATCTGCATTTCTAAGATTAGTTCATCAAGTTCAAATATATATATATATATGCATACACATATATATAAAATGTAATATATGTGTGTGTATATATTTATACACACACACACACATATATATATTATATTACATTACATTGAAATTTTTCAGTGCTGAAGATACAGTGGTATTGCAGAGGGAAGTCCTGCACAACTCACTTCTGGAGAAGTGCTGAGATACTGTACATTTGAGGATCCTGCCATTCAGTCAGCAGACATTAGTGTCTCCAATGTGCAGGAACTGTACTAAGCACTGGGAACAGAGCACTACACTCAGGTGATGTGGCCACCCTCCTCCTGAAGCATCTAGTCTCACAAAACTTGGCCTTCACTAGCCATAGGTCTAGCAAACTGCAGCAAGTCTCTGATGTGCTTAAATGCAGTCTTCAACACTCAGGATCTGGATGGTCATTGAGCCAGCAGTTTGAAGAATAAGGGTACAAGAACTGGAATAAGATTGTGATTTACTTCTATGTTGTGGATGTGGTTTTGTATTAAAAGCGTTAAGTGTACATATTGGAAATGAAGTTTTATAGACAGCTAGAGATATTAGAATCCTAAGGATTTGGTTATCTTGATAATTTTCATAAGCAGCATTAAAATTTTGATTGGCATGTGAGCCTTGTCCAGCCAAGTTTAAGCTTACTGTGAGGAAGGAGGACTAGCTGTACACGGACAGGCCAGACATCAGACACTGCCTACACTGGACCATAAGGTCAGAGGGGATAGTGAGTCCATCCAGTACAGTCCAGATTTGATCAAACTGTTGATTTATTGGGCCATAAAGGAGACCCTGCCAGCTATGGAGGACATTGTTGAGTACCTTGGAGGCTGGGCATGCAGAAGACCCCTAGGAGCTCAGCACCAGGATGTTCATAACTCTCCAGTACAGGCCCAAGGCCAGGGGGGCTCACCTGGGCGGGGACTGAGGCAGGTTCTGATTCTGGGAGGAGAGTGCGCTTGGGAAGAAGATGCACATAGTGTGTCATTTGCATAGAAATCAGAAGAGGATTGCTTCTGCACATCCTGGGTGCCTACAAGGGAAGAAGGGCCTGGGCTGATTTATTTACTCAGGCCAGCTTTCCAGGTAAATGACCAGTTGTAAATTTCTGGTCCTTCTCCAAGATGATACTAAAATATATTTGAAGTGACAGAGAGTGATGTGAATCATTTACAGAAAGGCCACTTTGGTATAGGTCTTGTGTATGTAACTTTATTTAGGAAATTTTAAAATATCATTGTAGTGCTACTACTACCTGCAATCACTTACTGGTTATATTAAAAGAACATGCAATGAATTAAAGTTGAGGGAACATCTGGTTTAAATAGTGAAAAGCAGAGGCAGTGGTGTTTCTGTTTTCTTTATTATATGTATTAATATTGGGATTAATGTCCCCATTGTTATGGTAACTAAGAATGGCACTACTAGCATTAAAAACAGACAAGCATATACCCCTAATTATATGATAGTAACCAGGTTCAATTTTGAATACATCAGTATTTTTAATACCTTTTTCTTTTTTTTTTTTTTTATTTATTTTAGTTCTCGGCGGACACAACATCTTTGTTGGTATGTGGTGCTGAGGATCGAACCCTGGCCGCACGCATGCCAGGCGAGCATGCTACCGCTTGAGCCACATCCCCAGCCCTTTTAATACCTTTTTCATGTCTGGGTAGAAAAATCTTTCTATTCAAATAGCAAGCCAGAAAGCACTTCCAATATGATCTAGATCAGTGGTCTCCAGATTGGACCCTTCAGAGATGTTCAGAACATTTTAAGGGTAGGAAAGATTCTGAAACTCTGTGTGCATATTATTTATAAATAAATCTTAGATGTGTGTTCAATAATATATTACTGATCATGATATATGATCAAAAAAGTTTGGAGATTGCTAATCTAGAAATAGACAAATTTTAAATATGGATCTAATTCTAAAACTACCTCCAAGTAAGTAAAACCTTTAGATAGCTAGGATTTTCATATCATGAATTAAAGAAACATGATAAGTAACTGCATCCTACTTGGTCAGAGTTCCCCTTTGCTTTTTGTCCTGATGCTCCCAGGGGCTGGAGGTGACACTCTTTGGCAGGCCCAAGTTTCTATGATAGCTGCAGGCTCTTGGCTTCCTCTGCCTCCTGCAGAGCTCCTATCACCATTTCTTTTCTTTTCCTTTTTTCCCTCCTATTCCAAGATATCTGTAAGTTGCCTTGCTCCCAGATAAACTCCATTTCCACCTCTTAGTTTAACTGCTTTTCAATAAAATATGTGTCTAAGATTTAACTTGGGGATGTGAACTCTGCTCAGTGGCAAATTAAATGATATTCCATCCTTGGTGGAATATCATTTAATTTGCCACTCTCCCTGTTCCTGAGAGAATTATCTATTCCATTATTTCTTTCCTATGAAATTGTGGAATACCTTATGACCTAATTCTAGGTGGATACCTTTCACCTGTATTATTAGTGCCAGACAGTCACCTGATTCTTGTGTAAGTAGGTCTAGTAAAGTTGGCTTAATCCAGGGTGAAGAGAAATGCCTCTCATGAAAATATTTGTAGCCTTGTAGTTGTAATATAGATTAAATACTCCTAAGAACTCCAAAGCAGAGAAAAATGTCGTAATTGTGAAAATAAATTTATAAAACCAGTAGCTAAAGATTCTGTTGTTCTCTATAGCACCAAGAACATTATGTTGTCAATAAATGGGATTCAACAGTAGAAATATAATCTCAGTAAGAAGCATTACTTAAGAAACAAGAGTGTAAGACTCAGCATTTAAAAAAAAAAAAAAAAGGGCAGCTATCAAAACAGCCAAGTGGTGGAACACTGTTGGTGACTGTTGGTCCTACAGAGGAAGAGAATTCAGTGATGGGTGAACAATGAATGCAGAGTGGGACAGCTGAGGGAGGATGGCTGGGTGGCCCAACGAGCCAAAGCTGCTGCTCCCCAGCTCCCGCCTTCTCGGCCACATTGTCTTGCAGAACAGCCCTCAGGTGGAGAGCCATGGGGACTCCTGGGAATTCACTCAGGGGGTCAAGAGACCCTCTAGCCTTTCCAGAACCCATGGCCTGCGCTGTTAGGTTTTCCTCATTGTCCACTCTCTTAACCTGAATGCATTTCCCCTTTCCCTGGCATCTGTTCATCGGGACACGGTGGAAGTCTCAACTTTTCCTGCACCCCTGTGACTTGAGACTTGTTTACAAACAGGGTGCTTGAATGTTTGCTCACGCTACCACTTCTTCTGTGACAATGGCTGCTGCATTGATATCTCCCTGGCGTGTGATGGCAAGCCGCAATGTCCTGATGGGTCTGACGAGGCTTTCTGTCAAAACTGTGAGTCCACCAGGTTGCCTGGCCAGGCAAGGGGCTGAAGGGATGGAGTAGGGCTGTCTGTGTTCTCAGGATAAATGGAACGCAGTGTTCCTCCTCCTGCCTGGTGTGCCATGTAACTATGTGAAGAAGCTTTGCCGGAAGTGGGAATTCACAGAGTCTCTAGTCTGAGTTGCAAATGCCAAGTTTTTGGTATTGCGTATGTTTTTTAAAATTTTCCAAAGATTTTTCCATCCTAAAAATACAGCATAACATATGACTTAAAAAAAAAACTGAAGTGAATTAACATTTTTGTGTTGATCATTTTTAAAGAACATTCGTGATGCACTAGAGTATGTCTGAGTCTTACAGTGTCACATGCATGCAAAAAAAAAGAGCTGTAAAAAGTTTGATTCATTAGATCCCAAGTTTTTCACTGTGAAAAAATTGATACAGATGCATTAAAATAGGTTGGAAATAATAATAATAACAATAAGTACTATTATACTGGTTAATATTCATTAGCATTATATTATAATTGTTATAATATGATTATATATATTACATACTGTATTTAAGATTTTTTTTCCCTTTTTTTGGTACTGGGGTTGAACCTAGGAGTGCTTAACCACTAATCCACATCCCCAGCCCTTTTTATTTTTATTTTTTATTTTGTTTAGGGCCCTGCTGAGTTTTTGAGGCTGGCCTTGAACTTGAAATCCTGCCTCAGTCTTCCGAGCTGCTGGGATTATAGACATACACTACAAAACGTGGCCCTATATTTAAGGTTTTATAGGTGTCCTACATCTGGAATAATGGAACAACATGGGTTAAGGAAGTACTGGTTTGAGGAAGAAGAGAGTCACAAAGAATAAAGTTTAAGTTTTGTCTGTGTCCATTTCTTATGTTTTTGATTTTTTTATTTTTTTATATATGATAGCAGAATGTGTTACAATTCTTATTACATATATAGAGCATAATTTTTCATATCTCTGGTTGTATACATATTGATTTTTTAATAATATTTGGAAAGCTAAATTACTGGAAGAAGAGAAAGCCAAATTACCCATTGAAAGCTAAAAAGAAGTTTTTGTGGTGGTTTTTACATGTTAGATGCGTGGATTATTAGTCCCAAATATCCATGATTTTAAATCACCTGAAAAGGTAGTGGTTTTTAAAGTTCAGAAAAGAAGCTGGGCTTGGTGGTGCATACCTGTAATCTAAGCAGCTCAGGAGGCTGAGGCAGGAAGATCAAAAGTTCAAAGCCGGTCTCAGAACCTTACTGAGGCCCTGAGCAACTCAACAAGACCCTGTCTGTAAATAAAATATATTTTTTTAAGTTGGAGTGGGAGCTGCTAGCATGTGACTTAGTGATTAAGCAACCCTGGGTTCAATCCCTGGTACTAAAAACAAAAGTTCAGAAATCTAGAAACTAACTGAGTTCTTATATACTTCAGTGGGCCTTGACCACAAGATGGTGAGCCACACGCCAGCTAGTCCTGCCCAGCCAGACACAACAGGCCTGAGTGAACATGCAAGGGAGCACTCATTGTTGGAAAAGTCCCAGAAAGTCACTGCCCCCAACCTGCTGGTCACCTCATCAGTCTCAGAGAAGAGAATTCACTCCACCTCCTGGGGACCAGAGAGCCAAATCATTCCTCTGATGCCAGGTAAGGACACCTGGTGAGTTCTCTGTGAAAAGTCTTGTTTTATATATATGTTTATTTATTTATAGATGAACACAATGTCTTTATTTTATTTTATTTTTTTTATGTGGTGCTGAGGATCAAACCCAGTGCCTCACATGTGTGAGGCAGGTGCTGTACCACTAAGCCTCAACCTCAGCCCCAAAAGTCTTGTTTTTTACAGTTAAATGTGGTTCAAAATTAAGTTATGTTTAAAGAATATTAAGGAAGTATCTCAAAAGAAAGAAAAGAATTAAAATGAAGAATTTGGCCAAAAAAAAAATAAATAAACAAAAAAGACTTGACATTTGTACTGATTTGTAATAAGGAACACCTACTAAATATAGTTGTCCCTTCATACCCATAAGGGATTTGTTCCAGGACCCCTGAAGTATCAAACTCCATTGATGCTCAAGTCTCTTAAATAAAATGACATTCTATTTGAATATAACCTACAAAAATCCTCTTGTATACTTTAAATTATTTTCTAGATTACTTATAATACCTCTATACTATAAGTGTAAATAGTTGTTACACTAGACTGTTTGCAGACTAATGACAAGAGGAAAGGTCTGCATATGTTCAATACAGATACAATGTTTTATGCATTCTGGGGATTAAACCCAGGGCCTCCTGCAACTTACTAAACACTTGCTTTACCACCAAGTTGCACCTCCAGCAACTTGGTGGTAAAGCAAGTATTGTTTTTTAGTATTTTTTAATCCAAGGATCCAAGGTTGGTTGAATCTGTGGATACAGAACCCACAGACATATAAGGTTGACTATACATTCATATACAAACATACATTTTTTAACTTTTTTATTTATTTATATGTGGTGCTGAGGATTGAACCCATGGCCTTGCACATGCAAGGCGAGCACTCTACTGCTGAGCTGTAACTCCAGCTCCACATACATACATTTATCTGTGAATAAGAATTAGAAGGCTTCAACACTTAGGTTAAAGAAATTAATACCCTAAGTGTTAAACTTTAGGTTATTTTGAAATAAAGCAGCATAACCCCTTCCTAATTTTGTAAATCCTCTACAGCCCAAGCTAGGGAACATAAATAAAACATGTCATCTTGCAATGGTCGCACATACTAGAAATTCAGTGTATGCCTCCAATTTAACTAAATCTATTAGGATTTTGTTTTGTATTTTAATAAGGCAAATGAGATTTTAAAATACATTCATATGCTGAGCCTCATGGCACACACATATAATCCCAGCTACTCAGGAGGCTGAGGAAGGAGGATCACAAATCTAAGGCCAGCCTGGGTTACTTAGCAAGACCCTGTCTCAAAACAAAAGAAAAAATTTAAAAAGTGTTGAGGGTGTAGTTCAGTGGTGGAGCATTTGCTTATCATGCATGAGGCTCTGGAGTCAATCCCTAGTACTGAAAAAAAATTTGTTTTAAACAAATAAATGAAGTACGATTAACATGTTTCAGGATTCCATCACTTTAAATTTATTTTGTACAACTTTATATTTACATGATTATGTGACATACAAGACAGAAATACAGATTATACTTTTTTTTTTAGAGAGAGAATTTTAATATTTATTTTTTTAATTTTCGGCGGACACAACATCTTTGTTTGTATGTGGTGCAAGGATCAAACCCGGGCCGCACACATGCCAGGCAAGCGCACTACTGCTTGAGCCACATCCCCAGCCCCAGATTATACTTTTATATGCTTTTGTAAATGTCTTTTTCAGTACTTAAACTGAATATTCATTTTATTGAAATAATCTCACTATTTTAATAACTTTTATTATTTAAAAAATGTGTTCATTTGTACAAGACTTGAAAGATGCAAAATAACTTAAAATACCACCTTTTATTTAAAAAATGCCTTTTAAAATATTTTGGTATATTTCCTTCCAAACTTTTTTGTATACTTTGTACATTTTGAGTGCCTCTATACAAGTATGTCTGCAAAACACTGAATTCTATGATGGGCTTTCTTGTTTGTTGGCTTGTTTTATTGGTGCTTTATAATTATGTATTATACGTAATAGTGGGGTTCATTTTGACATATTTATACATGCACATAATGTAATTTGGTCCATGTCATTCCCCACACCTCCCCTTTCTATCCACTGTGAGGGGCTTTCTCTCTGACAGTTTTGGTTAACACACTTTGGACATAGGCTCCTGGTCCATGTGCCATTGGTACTAACTGTACTGGACAGAGCAGTCACTACTTATGAGCCTCAGTATGTATTTGCAGGGTTTCTCTGAACAAACCTGTGTGGAGAAGAGAGCCACCACCTAAGAAATAGTCTGAACGAAGACCAGGTTTCTTGGCAGAAGTGGGGATGGGAAGGAGAGTTTGGAGAGAACCATGTTCTCAGGCAAGGAGAGAGAACTCGTGTTTTGTTACTTGGGAGAGAAGACCGTGAGCATGAATGAATGAGCCAAAGGTAGAGTGGAGACCAAAGCCCAGGGTTTCTTAAGTAGGTCTGGGCTTGGCTCTGCCTTTAGAACCCTGAGTAAGTTGCTTCCAGTCTCTGGCCCCCTGTTTCCTCGTCTGTTGATGAGGGATCTCAGCCAGACACCCTCTAATGTCCTGCCGGGCACTGAGTCTTTCAGGATGAATTAAAAGCCTGATGCTCACACTTTGCTCCATCAGCCTATGCTAGATATCAATCACAGAACTGTCCCCAAGGAGTGGACTCAGCTTCAAAATTCTTTTGAAAATCATGCCCTATATTGCTGCCAGCAGTTCATGGGACTTGGCACACAATTGGAAATGTTTTGTAATCTCTGTGTCCATTTTTATTATTATTTTTTTTAGTTGTAGATGGACAAATACCTTTATTTTGTTTATTTATTTTTATGTGGTACCGAGGATCAAACACAGGGCCCCACATGTGCTAGGCAAGTGCTCTACTGCCGAGCCACAATCTCAGCCCCTCTCTGTGTCCTTTTTGATAATGAATTTGGTCTTAACTATAAAGATGGAAAAAGTGTTGTGTTATATATATACAGAGATTACATGTCCAGTCACTCTTTATAACATTTTGGAACTTTTTCCTAATTATTGATGCAACACAGATTTGCTCCAGAAAAATTGGAAAATATAGAAAAATATAAAGAGGAAAATTAAAATCATCTAGCAAAACTTACTATTAATTTTTGTTGTATTTTCTTCAGGTTACTTTTATTTATATACATAAACACATGTATTTATGTATGGATTCACACACTTATTCATTTTTAACAAAGTTGGGATAATATTTTATAGAACTTGTATTTTTCTCACTTATGAGCATTGTCACATTATTAAATGGTCATCAAAAACAAGATTTTTGAAAGGCCATAGATGAATGAAGTGAGAAGAAAAGAACAGATTTTTGAAACTGTAAGAAGGAGCCTTCCCAGATTGGTTTCTGACTAGATAGCAGTTTTCTCCATCCTCCCCCTCCGCTGTCCCTAAGACATCAAAACTGGTGTCCCTAACCTCCAATCCATATGAGTTAAAGACCCAGCATATTAGAAACAAGTTGTGACATATGCCTGGTTTTAAAAGGATCATCAGCTAATATAATAAATATGGACAAGTTATCTGCTGTCTCCTTCCCCTAGGGCATGTGGTAAGGCAAAGTAAGACATGGCTCATAGAAAGCATGTCAACAAGACACTAAGATTCATACTAATAATGTAGTAAAGGAAATGAGGAAATGGAATTTTCATTTATCAGTCATTGAAAATGGTGAAAATTATAATAATTAAGTTTCTAAAGGTGAAGGGAAACGAGTCTCATACACTTCCAGTGGGAATTATGGTCTTCTATGGGGGACCCACTTATTCCAAGCTTGGAGACTTATCCCAAGCGTGTTACCAGGGAAGAGCTGAAAGCACATACAAATGTTTGGTTACACTAGTGAATGCACACTCAGGACATTCTGATCTCTGGCAGGAAGGAACACAGAGCTCCACTATGGCCCCTCTTTGCTTAGTACCTAATGGCACACTGGGGGGATTGTTGTTAGATGTGGTTGCAGCTATGAAGCCTGTTCTCTGTGTGGTCCAAGTCATTCATTAACTAGGCTGTCCTCTTGTGTCTGATCAAGCAAGAGGAAAGAAATCGGGTTTCCAGTCCTGCAAAATGATGAAAGAATAGTGTCGTATCTGCATTCACATGGGATCTGGTATCTGCATTCACATGGGATCTGGTTTTGGGCAACTTGAGAACGCATGTCTAGCCCTGCAGGTCAGCCGATTCCTTAAAGAGCTGGATTGAAGCTTGGACTAGGAGAATGCACGCTTCTGTATGGAGGTGTGGAGTTCTTCGTGCATTTTCATGGGTTCCATTGCTAAATATGCCAAAGCTTTATTGTTTAGCATATTTCTGGAGGTAACTAAAATGAGTGACTTCAATCTTTGTGTTATTGTGGAAGGTATTTTATTTTTTGGTCAAGGTAAGAGGACAGAACATATTGTATTTGATAGTGTGTTGACTTCAATTTTAACCTTAAAAAATCTAGACACAGGCCACTGTCCATACTCCCACCCCAGATGCTCTAAGTGTTGGGGTGGGCTTGGCCCCAGGCACAGGTGGCTGGGGGTTGAATCCAGGGCCTCATGCATTCTAAGCAAGCACTCTATCACTGAGTTACCCCTGGCCCTCAGTATTTTTTTAAAGGGTTTTTCCACATGCTCTAGATTTTTCATGTTTCATCCTTTTATGGAGTTTGACAATCTCTTTTTATATGGAGGAACTATTTGGAAACTAAAAGATCACGGTTCTAGAAAGGTAGTGTGAATTTGGTGAAGTATGTGATAGCACAGTTATAAAGCTTGCTCACTACCAACAAGGTGCCAGACATCAACCACATTCTCAAATGGTTGGAAGAACCGATGTAAGAAAATTTACTTATTATGAGCAAGGATATTCAAGTGGTTCTTTCCATGAAATTATGTGAGGGAGTACGTCCTCTTTCACTGACTTACTTTTGTTTGAAAAATGTCACTT